ATATACATTACACACGCATTGTCGCCATTTTGTTGTAGGGTATCATGGCCGAAACCGGAAATCCTGCCGGCCTCAGCTTTTTTTGACGAAGTTAGCGATCTAGTACTAGGTATTAGGACAATCCTGTGGTATCTTGGCTCCGTGAACGAAGCTAGTAGCGTTAGCGTTGATAGCGCGGTAGCGAGCTGCCCGAACGCACCCGGTGTATCATGCAATGTAATGAAAATTACAAAAGTGAGCAAATTTATTGAAGCATCTATGGCTTAGTTTACACCGATTGTTTAATACGCGTACCAAGTACTAAATCAGCTTCTTTGATTGGTGTAGATTTTACACTAAACGATTTATACCTATTGGAGAAGCAGATTTAGTATTTGGTACGCGTACTAAACAATCGGTGTAAACTAAGCTTATGAATTTATTGGTCAACAACCTAGTAAATTTGCTCACTTGTAATTTTCACTACATTCTTAGTATGTTCAAAAATAGATTTGGTTACTGCCAGTAAAAATAGTTCAGTTGGCAGCAGTGAAATTTACTGGTGCTGTGTTTCGTTTCTCCCAGCAATAAAGCCAATAAAACAGCTGAAATGATTTTAAGGATGCGTTTGTTTTGGACGCTTACGCCCTAAAAGCGTCATTCTATCTTTTTTCGACGTATAATAAGCAAAAAAGATAGACTGATGCTTTCAGTGCGTGAGCGTCTAAAGCGAACGCAGCTCAAGTAATCCGAAAGATAATTTTCAGATTGAAAAAATTTTATTAATTGGTTATTTTGAATTGGTGCTACAAAAGTTTCAAGAAATGGAGAGATTTGTACAATCTGAAAATATATCTTTACATGATAAGTGGGACAATAATCAACAATTGATTGATTTAAAATTACTCAATGAAACAACAAATTAAACAACAATTTCTGTTATTATTTATTATAATATTTAATAACTCTTCTTTGTCATCACTGTCACTCGAAGAGGCACTAGTAAACGATTCGAAAATAATATTATCAAGTAAAATATATTCTTGCATAATTACTCTACTTTTTATTCTATTAACCTAATTAACCAAAGAATAAAAAGTTAAGTAAACATACTAATTTTTACTTAAAAATTATTTTTCGGATTACTTAAAATTATTTCAGCTGTTTTAGGCTGTATCCCCATGGAGAAAGAAATAATGGAACGGAACAGTAACGGAACAGTAGTTAAAAGATAT